AATGTCACCACACAGATGGGCCAGAGTCTGCCTCTTGGTGGTTGGTGATGTGTGGTTCTTTTCTGTGAGTTTTTTATAAGATTTTCTTTATTATTTTCAGAGAGAGGGGAAAGGAGGGAAAAAGAGAGGGAGAGAAATATTGATGTGGGAGAGAAACATCGATTCCCTGGGGCCCCCTGACCTGCAGCCCAGGCATGTGCTGTGACTGGGGATCAAACCTGCAACCTATTTATCGGTTTGGAAGACGACCAGCCACTGAGCAAAACTGACCTGGCCCGGGAGGGGTCTTACACACAGATCTGCCGCGGGTGCCAGGGCCTGTGTCTCATGTCCTCTTTGTCTTTTGCCACTCCTGTCTCCACAGGTCGCTTGGACTGGCTCAGAAGGAGCTTGACAAAATGACCAAGTTCCAGGTGTGTGGAGTTTTGACTTTTATCTATTTTTTGGTTGTTTATTCTATTCCAGTTGCCCTAATTACTTTTTCTGATTTTAACCTGTTAAAATCTCTTATCAAAGCTTAGACACATCTTTTTTCTCTTCCATGAGAAGGATACAAATCAGGTTGCCTTATGTGTCTGCTAGTAGCTTTCATAGTGGTTCTACTTTTGTTTTTATTTGTGGTTTCATGTTATCGCTGTTCACAAGTACTAGGGCAGGAATCCCTAGGTATCAGAAAAGTTTTTCAAACCATATTATTACACTGCCATGTGAACTGTTTTCCCCATGTTATATTTTATATACTTACAACCACAGTATAAGTTTGCTTTTCAATCTTCTTTTTTTTCTTCCACTTAATACTGTCACTTGAGTTTTTGGTGATTAGCTATTCTTTTATGAACTTTTGTTATGCAAATTCTTGCCCAATCCATAGAAAGAACCCAGAGGACTGGTTGTGAAACACAAGGGTTTATTGGGACTTGAAGTGCCCACCTGGCGGGTGGGTGCAATTACCTGAGCCCAGGCTTTCCCAGGACAGGGGTATACAGAGTAGAGAAAACAAAACAGACAGCGTATGCAGGGTGCTTGCATGCAAGCCCTGTGAGCTCAAAGCACTGGCTCTTTTCTCTGTGCTTGTTTGTACTGTGGGCCCACATCCGAAAATAATACCTTGGCCAAAGAGCTGGTCAGACTCCCAAGGTCTCACAGTTCACTCACAGATGACCTTTACTGTGTTCCGAAGGGTGGGAGGTGTGGTTGCAGCTTGGGGAGATGCCCCTGTTTCCACAACCATACTTTGTCTCAGAAGGGGTTCTATGTTTTGTGCACCTTTCAGCAGTTACAAACAGGTATATACACCTCTGTGCCTGTGAATAAATTTTGTTTTTATTCTCAAACTTTTGCATGGGCTTTTAAAAATGAAATATAACTTACTTACTAAAATTATAGATCTTAGGTGAAAAGTCAGTGCTAGAGGTGTACCATGTTTTAAAAGTTGAATGATTACATTAGCCCACCACCCAAAACCAGAAATAGAACATTTCTGTTACCCTTCAAAGTTCTCTCCTTTGCCTTTCAAGCCAGTTTCTTCCTCCTGGGAGCCATCTGCTGTTCTGATCTGTCATCACTCAATTAGTTGACTTGTTTTGAAGTTAAATATAAGTAACGAATTTGTACAGTATGTAATCTTGTACCTGTCTTCTCACTCAGCACAGTGTTTCCAAGATGGATCTGCATTGTGTGTATCAATGTGTTGTCCCTTTTTATCATTGAGATGTATTAAATTTTGTGTGCATATGACAGCCATCTTATGAAGGATAGACAAAATTCTGCTTTTGAAGGAGGTTTGGGTTGTTTTACAGCTTTTGAGTGTTACTCATAAAGGTCCTATGAGTAGCATTCTTGTACAGGTCTTCTTGTGCACTTGTATTTTCATGTTTCTTGGGTTTACATCTAGAAGTTAAATGACTGACCTCGTAGGGTAGAAAAATGTATACAGTGGTCCAGTGGGGTGGCACCATTTTATCACCCCCACAGCATCTCAAAGTCTTAGGTGCTCCATGTCTTTCCATTGTTGGATGTAGATCTGTTTTATTTCATCAGCTCTGAAGAAATGACATCTCACTGTGATTATAATTTGTGTTTCCCTGATAAAAATGATGTTGAATACTTTTTCATGTACATTTTCACCATCGTATATCCTTTGTGAAGTTTGTTGAAGTCATTTGCCCATTTTAAGCATGGGCTTGTAGCCCTCGCTGGTGTAGCTCAGTGGATTAAGTGCAGGCCTGAGGACCAGGGTTGCTGGCTCTATTCCCAGCCAGGGCACATGCCTGGGTTGCAGGCCAGGTCCCCAGTAGGAGGCGTGTGATAGGCAAGCACACATTGATGTTTCTCTCATTCTTATTCTACCTGCCTCTCCAACTCTCTAAAAATAAAATAAAATCTTAAAAACAAGAAAATAAATTTTTAGAATAGCCCCAGTCTGTCAGGAACAGGAGGCTGCAGAGAGGAACAGTGCAGGAACTGTCAGATGATTCAGATGTTCGTTACCTGATAAGGACATTTTCTTAATATTGTAACATACACATAACATGAATTTACCACTTTGTTTTGAATTCAGTGTCATTAGGTACATTCACAATGTGTGAATTGTCACCACATGTCCAGAACTCTTTTTACGTTCCTGAACTGAAACTCTGTACGCATTACCCAATAACTTCCCCTGTCCCTAGTGTCTGGCAACCACCATTTCACTTAATGTCTCTGTAATTGTCTATTCTAGGTACTTCATATAAGGGGAATTATATACCTAATCCTTTTGTGACTAGCTTGTTTCACTAAGCGTAATGTCTTCAGGTTCATCCGTATGAAAAGGAATTATTTTACTTAGTATTTTATTCTATTTTATTATTTTATTATTGTATTTTTTTTAGAGAGAGGGAAAGGGAGAAGGAATCAGACAGGGAAACATCAAACTGCAAGAGAAACGTCAGTGTGTAGTTGCCCCTTGTACTTCTCCAACCAGGAACCCAGCTGGCAACTCAGGCATGCGCCCTGACCAAACATTGAACCAGGCACCTTTACGTTCACTGGCGGACATTCAAATCGTTGAGCAACACCAGCCAGGACATTTTGAAGTTTTCTTTTAATCTTCACCTGAGCCTATGTTTTCATTTATCTTAGAGAAGGGAAGGGAGGAGGGGAGGAGAGAGAGAGAAACAGTGATCTGTTTCCTGTTGCCTCCTGCCTGCACCTTGGCAGCGGATCGAACCCACAACCATTTGGTGTATGGAAGGTCACTCCAAGCAGCTGAGCCACCCAGTAAGGGCATCTGAGAAGGATTTTAAAGCAGGTTATTATAAAAGTATTTGAGCAAACACTCAGAGACATGAAATGAAAAACAGAAAATCTTAGGAATGAAATAGAAAATACAAAGAAGAACCAAATGGAAATTTTAGAATTGAAAAATATAGTAAGGGAAATATCAAAAACTAAAACAATGGACTCAAGAGCAGAATGAAGGGAAAGAGGGAAGACCTTGATGATAGACTAATAGAAATTATTTAACATGAATAAAAGAAAAATAGACTGAGAAAAAGTAATCAGGACCTCAGAGATCCATGGGAATATAACAAAGGGTCTAATATTCCTGTTATCTGGGTCCTAGAAGGAGAGGAGAAAGATGGTGAGACTGAAGTTCTTGAAGAAATATGATGGAAAATATCCATAATTTGGAACAGAAATAAACCTCCAGGTTCATGAAACTAAGTGACTCAGGGTGGAGGAAACCCAAAGCAATCACACCAAGACATTGTATAGTTAAACTTCTGAAAACTAACAAAGACAAAAACCTTGAAAGCAGTAAGGGAAAAACAATTCAAATGACATTGAATTTTCTTATCAGAAAAAAACTAGAGTATTTTCCAAGTGCTGAATGAAAAGCACTTTCAACTCGGAATTCTTTGTCCAGTATGAATAACATTTGAGAATAAAGGGGAACAGGGCATTTGTAGGTGAATGAAATCAAGTGTAGCTGTCACTAGCGGACTTGGGCTAAAACAATAGCTAAAGGAATGAAATAAAAATCATAGCATTTTCTGATGTACTTTGTAGATATTTTAGAGAGAGGGGAAGGGATAGAGAAAGAGGAGAGAAATATGGATGTGTGAGAGAGATGTTAATCTGTTGTGTCTAAAACAGTGACAGGTGGGGTAGGGTAAAGGCACTTAAAGAGAAGTTAGGTTTCTGCTTTTCATTGGGACTGGTAACATAGTAACAATAGACTTTTAAGTTATGTGTTAGCAATGTAATTCTTATAGCAACCACTAAAATCATACAGACATATCCTCTAAGATGTTATACGTAAATCAAAATGCAATTTTAGAAATGATCAAGTAATGTGCAGGAAAATAGGGGAAATGAAAAAAATAAAATGGCAGACTGAAATCCTAACATAAGTAATTCATTAAATGGAAATGGCCTAAATATGCCCATTAAAATACAGGGATTGCCATTGTGATTAGGAAAATATGACTCAGCGTGCCCTGGCCACTGTGGCTTGGTTGGAGCATTGTCCTACACTGAAAGGTTGCAGGTTTGATTGGTGGTCAGGGCACATAATCATGTTGTCAGTTCAGTCCCACGTCCAAGTGTGTACAGGAGGCAACTGATTGATGTTTTCTCTTGTGTTGATGTTTCACTTTCTCCCCGCCTCTCCCTCCCTCTCCCTCTCCCTCTCTCTCTCTCTCTCTCTCTCTCTCTCTCTCTCTCTCTCTCTCTCCCCCCCCTCCCTCTCTCCCCCTCCCCCTCAAAGCTATGGGTAAAATGTCCTCATAAAGTGACTCAACAATACGTTATTAGAAACTCACTTTAAATATAATGATATCAACAGGTTAGAAATAAAAGGAGGGAAAAAGATGTATCATGCAAACATGAGAAGAAAGTAGAGGTGACTAAATATACAAACGTAATCCTGCCCTTACCATACCAATCACATTGAGAACAGCTGACACTCATGCAGGACCTCCTGTGTGCCAGGTGTACAGACTCTGAGGCAGCGCTGCGCAGCAGAACTTCTGCCGTGATGGACATGTTCTGTATTGTGCTGTGTAACGTGGTAGCCACAGGCCACACGTGGCTCTGGAGCTTTTGAAATGTTCTGCGGCAACCATGGGAGAGAATTGGTAATTTTACGTAGTTTTAACCTTACATTTCCATAGCCACACATGAGTACTGGCTTCTGAGTTGGACAGGAAGTTATAGGATCTCTATGTCTATTCATTCATTGGTATGTATAAGAATTTGCTGTGATGAGCAGCATCACACAGATGAGGAAATACATGAAGGGGTTTTTGATATAAATATCAAAGATCATGCAGCTTCGGAGGGGCACGCAGCTTTGGGATTTAAACTGAAGTATTCTGGCAGGGAAATGGGTACACCTTAACACTTTGAATGCTGTCATCAGTAGTGTCACAGATAGGTGGCATGTGCCTTGAGAGTACAGAGGGCCAATGTCATAGCTCCTGAGGAGGGGTGACCTATTGGTTTGTCAAATTTTAACAGGGTGACAGTACTCAGGCTCAGGGAATGCATGAGTGAAAAAGGAAGGATAAACACTACCAGACCCCTTTGGGAGTAAATTGACCTAACAATTCGGGAACACTTTGGTAGTATTAATGATCATATAGAATGTATATCGCCCTTGGTTCAAGAGGTGCAGTTCCAGGGTGCTTACTGTTCGAATAGCCACAAATGACACCAAGTGAAATTAACAGGGATTATTCTTCACTTGCACATATTTTCATGGGACTCGGGAAATTAATGTATGAAAATGATATGCTGGATTTAGAACAGTAGGAACATAAATAAGGGAGACTCAAACACCTTAGCATCCAGAGTAACTTCCCGCCCATCCCCTCTGCCCACTCAGTGCTGCTCCTATCCTTCAATGCAACATTAAGGTTGACTGTGTTTGGTGTTGTAGGAGACTGTGATGTTCAAGGACGTGGCTGTGGTCTTCACAGAGGAGGAGCTGGGGCTGCTGGACCCTTCCCAAAGGATGCTGTACCAAGACGTGACCCTGGAGAACCTCAGGAACCTGATCTCTGTGGGTGAGGACAGGTGCCCCCTCTACCTGAATATCACCTCACAAGAGTATTTTATCTTTGGAAATTATGTTTTATTGATTGTGCTCTTGCAGTTGCCCCAAGTTTTCTCCTGTTCCCCGCTCGACCGAGCACCACCAGTCTCTCAGGCTATGCCATACCATTGTTTACATCTGTGGGTCAGGTGTAAGGGTTCTGTGGCTACTCCTCCCCTATACTGTAGTTTGCATCTCATGGCTGTTCTTGAACTACCTATTTACACCCCACACTAGTGGCCCGGACCACATCTCAGGCATTTGCCCCAGACCTGGAATGGAAGGAGCAACCCCCTGATTTTGAGGCTGGCACTGAATCCACCGAACCATACCAGCCAGGGCTACTTAATTTGTTTTTTAGATTCAATTATTGATTGATAATGTATTTTTTGCCTTTTTATTGTTCATAGTTTTTATCTTCGTTTTCTAAGTCCCCTTAACATTTCCTGTAAGAGTGGCTTGGTGATGATGAACTCCTTTAATTCTTCTTCTCAGGGAAGCTCTTTATCTGCCCCTCCATTTTAAATGATGGCTTTGCTGCGTAGAGCAGTCTTTGCTGTAGTTCTTTGCTTTTCATGACTCTGAATATTTCTTGCCAATCCTGTGTAGCCTGCAAAGTTTCTTTTGGACCTCTGCTGGAGGCAGGTTAACTGCTTTCCTCCTGCTGCTTTTAAGATTCTTTATCTTTAACCTTTAGTATTTTCATATAGGATATTCTTGCAGAGGGCCTCTTCACTTCCATTTTGGTTAGCAGTATCTCTGTTTCCTGGGCTTGCATGTGTATTTCCCTCACCAAATTAGGGAAGTTTACTTCCCTTTTCCCCAAATAGTTTTGCAGTTTCTTGGTGTTTCTCTTCTTTTTCTGGCACCCGTATGATGGAAATGTTGGAATGCTTGAGGTGGTCCTAGAGGCTCCTTATCCTGTCCTCATTTTGGGGGGATTCCTTTCTCTTATTGTCTGATTGGTTGTTTTGCTTCCTTATGTTCCAAATCATTGACTTGATCCTCAGCCTCATCTACTCTATTGTTGTTACCCTGTAAATTGTTCTGTGTTTCAATTATTGTATGATCAGTCTGCCTGGATCTTTTTTATGCTGTTGGGGTCCTCAGTAAGTTTCTTGAGCATCCTTGTAACCAGCGTTTTCTACTCTGCCTCTGCTAGATTGCTTATCCTCATTTGTTTAGTAGTTTTTGTGAAGTTTTGAACTGTTCATTCATTTGGGCCATGTTTCTTTGTCTCCTGATTTTGGCAGCCTCCCTGTTTGTTTCTGTGCATTAGGTAGATCTGCTGTGACTCGCTATCCTAGTATTATGCCCTATGCAGTAGGTGTCCTTTAGGGTCCAGTAGCACAGTCCCCCTTATCACCCAGCTAGCTACTTGAGATGCACCCTTCATGAGGGCTAAGTACACCCTGGTCTTGTAGTTGAGCCTTGGTTGTTGTTGCGGGTCAATGGTAGGGATTTACCCAGGCCAGTCCTGGGCAAGGTTTGGCTGTGACCACTGACCACTAACATCTGCACTTGTGGAGTACCAGCTGTGTAGGGGCAGGGTGTTGGTGCTTCCACACGGTCTGTAGCTGTGCATTGGTTGTGCTGGCCCTGGGTTTTCCTAGGTGATGTATGCCAAGGTCAGTCTGCTCCTGTGTTTTTCCTTGGGCCACCCTGCCTGAACTATGGAACAGACTGAAGTGGCTACTACTTGTGTTGGACTTAGAGACTCCCAGGCAAAGCCAAGCTCTGAATTTAGACTGGCTGCTGCTGGTGCTGTGCCTGGGGCTCTTAGCAAAAGGGATTGGGGCTAGGGGCTCACTGAAGATAGCAGTTGCATGTTTTAAAGGATTTAGGAAGTTCTGAAGGATGAGCCAAGAGGAGCCATTCACATGAGTCTTACTGTTAACAGTTGTAAGTAAGTTGGGAGGGAGAGAGGCTCAGGGGATCTCCAGGGTAGGGCAAACAGTGTTAGTCAGGTTGATGGAGTCTATGATATGGCACCTGCCTGCTGCCTCTGTGGCTCTCCCCACCATTCTGTTGTGGGGGAAAATCTGTGGCGCAGGTCTTGCCTTAATGCCAGACACTTCCATTTGTCCCTGTATTCCTGTGGTGCCTTTGAGTCTGCTACCCCACTGGTAGATCTCAGAGGGAATTGATAGAGTAAGGTCATGTGTGGGTTCTTTAAGAGGAGCTGATTGGGGATCCAGCAGTTTTTCTACCAACTCAATCCCTGGAGGTTTTTGCATCTGGATGTTACAGGGTCTTATTTTCCTGGTAGAGGAACCCTGGGTGGGGCGCCTAGAGTGGGAGTGGGACTCCTTACTCCCAAGATTGCCATCATAATCATTTTGTCCCTCCCATGTTTATGTGGGAGGAGTCCTTTCGTGTCTCCACCCCTTCTACCAGTTTGGATAAATGTTGTTTCTTTAATTTGTAGTTGTCAGACTTGTATTCAACTCGATTTCTGGGGATTCTGAGTAATGTTTGTTCTATGATTTAGTTGTAACTTTGTAAGAGGTTGTAAGAGGAGGTGAGGTGTGCTTTGCTATGCCACCATCTTGACTGTAGTTCCCAGGAGTATTTTGGTTTCAAATGTTTAAGAGTTTCAGACTCTTGAAATATGTCCCCAAACCTGGAGATGTACATTTCCTAATTGCTATTGGATGTGTTGCCTTTACGTTTTCTGGTTTTTGGAAATTGCAGTTGCGATATCTTGCTGTTAAAATGGGTTGGTAAGTTACATCATTATTGTATGGAATAAAATAAAGTTCCTTGTAGGGACTGCATTCATGCAACCAAAATGGTGATTAAATCCGTAAAGGATGCTCATTTGATCCCATGTTATATTCATAACAGCAGGTCCCAGTCAGAGTTTCAAGAAAAAACTATTTAGAGCACATGAGGGTCATAGTAATGAATTCAATTTTTGTCAAATGTATCCAGCATTTACTTTTCACAGGATATCAGTCCTTCAGATTGCATCAGATATTACCCTTGGGGAGACAGGAGAAGCTCTAGATGACAGAGAAGGACCCCAAGGAGGTGGGTGTTCAGTTGAGAAGCAGGCAGCTGCAAGTCCTCCCAGGGCACAGGCCAGGTGCTGTCCTTCTCCCTGCCACCAGGGTGGCCGCCCTGGCCCAATTCTCCAGCTTTCATGACTCCACTTACTCACAATAGCCTCTCACTGCCTCCTGCTTGTGCATGTGCCCCACTATCATCTGTTCTGTAACAGCAGGCAGGTCAGGTCACTTCTCCGTTTGCCCTTGCAGGACGTACGATCCCACTTACACAGTCCAACATCCTTTTTGTGGCCCCCAGGGTGGTGCCTGATCTGGCCACCCATGCCCTCTCTGTTCAGATTTCCTGTCCTCAGTCTTCCTGTGACACTGTGTTGCTGCTTCCTGTGTTTGTGACCTACTGACTGTGCGTCTGCCTCATGTCCTCTCACTTGCTCGTCCATGTTCTGCCCCAGGGGCCCTCCTGGTTCCCGCCTCTGCCCTGTCTGCTCCCATGTCATCTCATCACAGATGCCTGCTCTGACCAGTCTGCTTAAAAAGTCCAGCCCCCTCCTCTGCCTTGTTTTCTGACTCATTAATTGCCAGGTGATATAGTAATGGATTCTATTTTGTTCACTTGTTTATGCCCTCTCTCCCCATTACTGTGTAACATTGGGAGAGCCAGGGTTGTGTTTTCTTTATTGCTGTGTACCAGGTGCCTCTGAGAGTCTTAACATATAGGGTATGTCCATTCACTGCTTGTTTGATGAAGGAGGGAATTAATTTGGATACACTGATGGATGGATGGATGGATTGGTTTCCCATTTCAGTGGCAGGGAGAATGCTACCTCACAGCTTATCCTAACCTGTGGTCTCTGTGTTGCCATTGTGAGCTCTGCTGCATCCATTTACCCAGTAACATCCTCCATGCTATCCGCTTTTCTCCATTTTTTCCTCATTCTCTGTTTGTTCACTCCCTCCGTCCTACATTTATGTTCACTGTGTATATCCCTCAGGTAAACCCAGTCTAAAATACAGTCATTATAGTCATGCCTCTGGAGTATAAGTACCAAAAATCAAGAAGTGTATCAAACAAAACCCCCAGGAAAATCTAGATGAGGCTCTGCCTATTGTGAATAGTGGGGGAGAGTTTTTTCTTTCCTTTTGTCATTTGTGTTCTGGTGTCTTCATGCTGCAGGAAGGTTCTGTGCAAAACCTTCAGGAAGGCTGGATGCCAGCTCCATTTGATTGGCTCCCTTTTTTTTTGTGCAGACTTCCTTCTTGGGAATTATGAACCCAGTTCCACCTGGTGTCTGTTTTTTCCTTACCAGGAAGTTTTCCAAGCGGTTTCCCTTTTTTTTCTTTTTTCTTTTTCTTTTTTTTTGAGCCTCATCCGAGGACATTTTTTTCATTTCTTTTCGAATGGGAAACATCGGTGACACAGAGAAGCATCAGTCAGTGGCTTCCATGCATACCTAGGCCATGAACCAAAGATTGAACCCTCAACCTTGGTATGTATTCTGACTGGGAATCAATCCCACACACAATCTGTGAGTTTCAGGATGTACCTCCAACCAACTGAGCGACCCAGCCTGAGCATGTTGGGTGTTTTCTTGTTCTTTTTCTTTTTGTTTTCTTTAAGAAAAGTAAATTTTGTTGTTGTTTTGTTGGTACTTATTTATTGGTTGATTTGAGAAGGAGAGAGATATTAAGACATTGATTTGGTGTTCCTTATATATGAATTCATTGGTTGATTCTTGTATGTACCCTCAGTGGGATTGAACCCTCAACCTTCATTTTGAGACAGCAGTCTACTTACTGAATTCCCTGGTCAGGGCTGTTTTGTGTTTTTTAATAAGCCCTTTATTTTGCAATTGAGGGCCACCTTGTTATTGAAATATACACAAAAACTGCAGTACACCTTCATCAATTTTCAGGGAGTAAAGAGTTTATATTTCAGTTCTTTTTTATTGAGGTAACACATTTCTAGCATGGCCTTTGATAATTCGTGTCTATGGCTGCACCTCTGTAACTTACACCCCTTGGAAAACTGAAGAAATCTTATAGCATATGTCCCTACAGGTATCTTCTTAAAAGTTCTTTTGGCAATATCTGAACATCCCCACATTTTCTGTGTTCTATCTCTATCACTTTGCCCCGGCCCACTTGTTATGAATATCCTTGCGGCCTTGTTACACTGCACAGATGCCCACAGTACAGGGTTTGTTCTCCGTCCAGGAGTCCTGTAAACAACTGATAAAGAGAATGGTGCTAGGTGGGTCTCACTGTCTTCACTCCTCCTGGAGATAGCCCACAAGTAGAGGAAAAAGCCAGTATAACTGAAGAATTATTTGAGAACATTGGTAGTCATCTGGTGAACATCTGCCCTAATTATAATTTTTATGGAACTTTCAGCAGCTTTGTCTACCTATGTAACAATGTACTCTTAAACTTAGCAGTTAACAAGAACAAGCATGTATTCATAATTCTTTCAGTCAGAAATCTGGAGGCAGCTTAGCTGAGTGATTGTGTGTCAGGATCTCATCAAGGTGAAATCAAGGAGTACATGAGAGCTTCATGTCTTTGCAGGCTTAATGGCACTGAAGCATTGGCTTCCAGGATGGACTCGTTCACATGGGTGTTGGCAGAAGGCCTCAGTTCCTTGCCAATGGGCCTGTCCTGTGGGCATCCTGGCTGTCCTCAAAGCATAGCATGGCAGTGGGTTTCTCCACCCAAGAGATTGGAAGGAGAAACCACAATATCTTTTATGACCCAAGCTTGGAAGTGATATACTCTCACTTCTGCAGATTTTTACAATCCTCCAAAGAGGATACATTTATTGATTTTAGGGATAGAGAAAGAAACATCTTTGGGTTTCCTGCAGTACATACCCTGAGTGGCAATCGAACCCACAACCTCTTGGTGTGTGGGATGATGCTGCAATCAACTGAGCCACCCAGCAATGGCACCTTTGCTATTTTCTTTTAGCTTACCAGGGTAATCTTGATACATTGCAGGAAGGCATTTGGTACCATATGGACATCAGTAGGTAGGATCATTGGACACTGTTCTGTATGCTGGTTACCATGGCATAGTTTTATGTGTAGAAATGCATATCCAGTGTGCAAAACCTGGGATATGTTGTTAGTCATCTTCATCAGAACATGTCGCTAAATTAAGTGGTAGCAATTATCATGGGACATTTTACTCCCATAAGTTGTGTGAGTCAGGGGTATTAGTTTTCTAGTTTGTTCTACTTAGAACATTCACCATTTTGCTGAGAACATCACCTGCTCTGTAGTTGTGTATTTCTACTTTTTGACCTGTTACATAAGTTACATATAGTTCCAAATCAGTCACCTTAACACTGAGTGGACAGCAGCCTACTCATCGCCTCTTTGTTTCCTTACTCATGAGAAAGCCTATGGTGAAAGCCAAGCTGATTGAGTAAGGTCTTCCAGTGTGGTTGGCCTCTGAGATATTTTTTATGTGTGAGAAGACATTAGCTCGTCCTACTTCTCATGTTTGTGTTTTCCTTATCTTTCCAGGACACTGGAATCAAAATGAGATAGAGACTGTTCATGAAGTTGCTTTAAGGTACCTTTTTCATGAAGACCTTGTGTGCTGGCAAATATGGGACCAACTTCTGAGTAAGTTAACCAGAAATGAAGACTCAATAATCAACCTGGGAAGCAAGGTTTTGGATTTACTAAAACAAGGTGATTCCACCTGTCAGTTGTGTGCAGGAGAATCTACTCGAGTTTCAGAAGGCGAGAAATATGTAAGAAAGCCTCAAGGGGAAGTTCAGAGTTTCAACACTGTAAGGAAAGAAGAGTTTCCCAAGAAGACCAACCACAATTGCCAGAATAAAGTGTATTTGAGACCATCACAGAATGATCCAAGTAGATGGCAGGAGGGTGACGGCAGATGTAAAGTGTTAGAGTGTGAGCACTGTGACAGGAGAAGGACCTCTGGTTTTCACAGTGATGATCAGGAAATGAGGAGAAGTGAGACATCTTATAGCCACAAGAATTGTCTGAAAGACTTCTTGAAGGAATCACTGCAGCATAGTGTAATCCACTCAGAAGAGCACACTTCTACCGAAAATGTGAAAGGCATCAACTTTAGCCCCAGTGTTGAATTGCACCTTGGAGCAGAAACTCTTATACATCATGAGTTTGGGGAGAGTGAGAGTTATAGCTCGGAGCTTTGCACTGCTCAAAGTGTCCACACACAAGACATATGCAGAAAGAGTGATGAGTGTGGTGAGGACATGAGTCAGAGTTCACATCAGACTATTCATCAGCAAGTCCACATGGGAGAGAAAACCTACAAATGTGCTGAGTGTGGGGGGATCTTCACTCAGAGTTCACAACTTCAAGATCACCAGCAACTGCACACTGGAGAGAAATCCTACAAATGTACTGTGTGTAGGAAGAGTTTTAGTCAGACGTCCAGTCTTCCATCTCATGAGCGACTCCACAGTGGAAAGAAAATCTACAAGTGTGCTGAGTGTGGGAAGATGTTCAGTCAGAATTCAAAACTTCAAGTTCATCAGCGAGTGCACACTGGAGAGAAACCCTACAAATGTCAATTATGTGGGAAGAGCTTCAGTCGGAGCTCACACCTTCAGGTTCATACTCGAAATCACACTGGAGAGAAACCCTACATATGTGCCGTGTGTGGGAAGAGCTTCAGTGAGAGTTCATATCTGCAAGTGCATCAGCGAGTACACACTGGAGAGAAACCCTACAAATGTGCTGTGTGTGGGAAGAAATTCAGTCAGAGTTCATATCTTCAAGTGCATCAGCGAGTGCACACTGGAGAGAAACCCTTCAAATGTGCTGTGTGTGGGAAGAGCTTCAGTCAGAGTTCAAAACTTCAAATTCATCAGCGAGTCCACACTGGAGACAAACCGTACAAATGTGCTGTGTGTGGGAAGAACTTCAGTCAGAGTTCAAAACTTCAAGGTCATCGGCGCATTCACACTGGAGAGAAACCCTACAAATGTCCTGTGTGTGGTAGGAGATTCGCTTGGAGTTCATATCTTCTAGATCATCAGCGAGTGCACACTGGAGAGAAACCCTACAAATGTCCTGTGTGTGGGAAGAGCTTTAGTCGGAGTTCACACCTTCAAGTTCATAAGCAAAATCACACTGGAGAGAAACCCTTCAAATGTGGTGTGTGTGGGAAGAGCTTCAGTCAGAGTTCATATCTGCAAGTTCATCAGCGAGTGCACACAGGAGAGAAACCCTACAAATGTGCTGTCTGTGGTAAGAGCTTCATTAGGCGTTCACATCTTCAAGATCATCAGCGCATTCACACTGGAGAGAAACCGTACAAATGTGCAGTGTGTGGGAAGCATTTCAGTTGGCGTTCAGGACTTAAATTTCATCAGCGAGTTCACACTGGAGAGAAACCTTACAAATGTGCTGTGTGTGGGAAGTGTTTCAGTTGGCGTTCAGGACTTACATTTCATCAGCCAATTCACACTGGTGAGAAACCTTACAGATGTGCTCAGTGTGGGAAGAGCTTCAGTCGGAGTTCAGATCTTAAAGTTCATCAGCGGGTACATACTGCAAGGAAACCTCCAAATGTGCCATGTGGGGGAAGACCTCCAGTCATACCTCTAGTCTTCGAGATCATCAGTGAGTCCACACTTGAGAGAAACCCTACAAATGTCCTGTGTGTGGCAAGAGCTTCAGTTGGATTTTAGCTCTTCAGTCTCATCAGGAGTTCCACATATTGAAAAACCGTATAAATATAGAAAATCTGGAAGAAGCTTCAGGCAGACTTCAAGTCTTCAAGCAGATTGTAGAGTCCATACTGTGTATCACTGTACAAACATTTTGGTTGTGGTAAGGGCTTTAGTAAGACTTTTACATCTTTACCTTTATCAGAGAGTATATGATACTGGTAAGCTCATCACACCTGATAGGTGTGTGATAAAAGTGTTCCCCAGAGCTTAGACTTCTACGTTTCATGAGGAAATCTACACAGCCGAGTGTCTATAAAACGTTGTGTGTAAAAAATTCATCATGACTTCCAGCCAAGGTGGAGGCGTAGGTGGAAACACTGTGCCTCCTCGTATAACCAAAATTAAGGACAACAAGAATTTAGAAACAGAAAAACAACCAGAAAAGACCGAAAATTGAACTGTACGGAAGTCCCAACAACCATTCATTTAGACCAATAAGAGAGGTGGAGTCAGTGGCCAGCCAAAAGGGGTTGCAGCAGAAAAAAGCAGTGGCTGGAAGAGGTGGGTATGCAGGCACAGCTGGCCGCTAGCAGACCCTGGTGGCAGGCCCAGTGAGGGACAGAAGTCAGCTGGCTGCCCACAGTGACACATTCGGGTGCAGATAAACCAGGTGAAAAGGGCAGTGAGACAGACCACGCAACCCAGGGCCCCAGGTCCAGGAAATAAAGCCTAAAAGCACTGATTGAAAACAGTTGTGGAGCTTGAGGTGCCAGGAGAGACTCCCAGCCTGACAGGAGAGTTCATTGGAGGGACCCACAGGGTCCTAGAAGGTACAGAAGCCCACCCACCTGGAAACCAGCACCAGAAAGGCCCAATTTGCTTGTGGGAGGCTGCAGAGGGCACTGAAATATGACAAAGAGTGGAGCAAGTGCCATTGTTCCCTCTCTGACTCCTCCCCCACATACAGCATCACAACCCAACAACTGGATTGCCCTGCCCTGGTGAACACCTAAGGCTCTACCCCCTCACTACGTAACAGGCAAGACCAGATCCCGCCCCACCAAAAAAATATTGGCTTAAATGTAGAACACATAAAAGCCCCAGAGCCAATACTTTTAAGCTACCAAGTGATAGCCAACCTATCAGATGCACAGTTCAAAGCATTGGTGATCAGGATGCTCATAGAATTGGTTGGTTTTGGTCCCAAAGTAGATGAAAAAATGAAGGGTACACTAAGTGAAATGAAGAAAAATGCATGGGGAAACAGTGATAGAAAGAAACCTGGGACTCACATCAATGGAGTGGACCAGAAGGAAGAAAAAAAAACATACAATCAGTAAAGAATGAAGAAATAAGAACTTTTTTAAAATGAGAGGCTTAGGAACCTCCAGGACATCTTGAAACGTCCCACTTCCAAATTATAAGGGTATCTGAAGGGGAAGAGGAAGAGCAACACATGGAAAACTTTTCTGAACAAATAATAAAGGAGAACTTCTTCAATCTGGCAAATGAAATAGGTACCAGGAAGTCCAGGAAGCTCAGAGAGTCCCAAAGAAGTTGGACCCAAGGAGGAACACACTAAGGTACAGCATAATTACATTAGCCAAGGTAAAAATTAAGGAGAGAATCCTAGAAGCAGCAAGAGATAAGGGGACTGTAACCTACAAAAGAAGTTCCCATCAGACTGTCAGCTGATTTCTCAAAAGAGACCTTACAGGCAAGAAGGGGCTGGAAAGAACTATTCCAAGTCATGAAAGACAAGGACCTACATCCATGATGGCTCTATCCAGCAAAGCTTTCATTTAGAATGGAAGGGCAGATAAAGTGCTTCTCAAAGAATGTCAAGTTAAAGGAGTCCATTATCATGAAGCCCTTATGTTATTGAAATGTTAAAGGGAAATATCTAAGAAATAGAAGATAAAAAATATGAACAGTAAAAAGACATAAAACTCAGAGTTATTAACAGCCACACCTAAACAAAAGCAAACTAAACAAACAACTAGAACAGGAACAAAACCACAGAAATGGAGATCACATGGAGGGATAGCATCAGGGTAGTGGGAGGAGGAGAGAGGGGGAGAAGGTACAGAGAATAAGCAGCATAGGTAGTAGGGATAAAATAGATAGGGGGAGGGCAAGAATAATATGGGAATTGTAGAAGGTAAAGAACTTTCAACACATGAACATGAACTAAAGGGGAAATGGGACAATTCTAATAGAATACTCAATCAAATATATTTTTAAAAAATGTCCTCATGAGCTTTGTTTTCTACAGTCATCTGAATTCCATGGGAAAAAACTTCCTTCTTGCAGGAATGTGGACAGTGTCCTGGCTAACTTCATCATGTGACTGTTCTTCAGAGAATGCACAACAGAAAAACCCTATGAGAGCCATAGTGTAAGTTTGTATGAACCTTCCTGCTCTCTAAAGTCTGCGCAGGAGAGAGGCTTAAAGTAAATACCAGTGGACCTTAGAAAAGGTTGATTCACAGATTTGACAAAATCTACAAGCACGATAATGGCACTGCCATGGAAGCAGGAAGTTTATTCACTGCTCAATGACCATGACAGGAGACCAGTGCCTAAGTACTAATAGGAGCCTGGAAATGTCTCGCTTTACGGACAGGAAGAGTTGTGAAAAATAGGGTGCCTATATGGAAATTCTTATCAGTCCAACCTCAATTAGCAATAGTAAATTATAGTAGAAAAATTATTTTTTGTAAAATCCTTTAAAAGCTAATTCAGGGAGCGCTGGCTGGTGTGGCTCTGGATTGAGTGCTGGGACGTGCATAAAGGGTCACTGCTTCAATTCCCTGTCTCAGACACTGGCCTTGTGGGCAAGGTCTCCATTAGGGGTCGTGTGAGAGACAACCACTCATGGATATTTGTGTGCCTCTCATTCTCCCTTCCCCTCTAAAAAGTGAATGAATAAAATCTGTAGGGAAAATAAAGCTTTTATTTCACTTTAGAGAGGTGAAGGGAGGGAGAAAGAAAAGGGAAGAAATATTGATTGCTTTTATCCATCATGTGCCCCAAGTGGGGACCAAATAACTGGCCATCTTTCCATCTGTGGACGGTACCCAACCAACTGAGCCCCATCTGTCAGGCCATGGAAGGGGATTTTTGTAAATGTGGTTTTGTGTTTTGTTGCTTTTCACCTGGATGCATGATGAGAAATTGATGCAAATGTTTATATGCTCACCACTTCCAAAACGCTGGAGGGATCCCCAACAGGGAAAGCTGTAATGGAGAGTGTCAGGGCCAGAGCTCCGTGGGTTTCTGCTCCCCGTACCCAAAGCACTTAAACTCTGAGGTTTAGGAAGAGGAGAAGGATATACAGCTGATGATTTTTGCTGATTCTGTGGGGGCAAAGGGAGCCAACATGAATAGGGAGGACATGTAGAAATGGAGATACGCTTTTGGAGATTTTCTTTTCAAGATTTTATCTTTAGACAGTGGGAGGGAGGGAGAAAGAGAGTGAGAGAAACATCAGTATGTTTTTGCCTCCCATGCACGCCCTGGTGGGGACCTGGCCCACAACCCACACTTGTGCCCTGAATGGGAATTGAAGAGGCGGCCTTTTGGTTTACAGGCCAGCACTCAGTCCACTGAGCCCCGCCAGCCAGGGCCTCTTTTGGAGTTTTCAAAAGCAGTTTTTAGTTGCTAGTTAACTCTTGGAAAAGTTGGTGCCTGGCCCTGAGCCCTCTGTATGTGTATAGCATGTTTTTCCTTAAAACCTTTTTCATTTTTCAGTCACAGTTGACATGCAATATTATATCAGTTTTAAGTGTACAGCATAGTGATTAGACATGTGATCCTCTGGTAAGTCTCGTACCCACCTGGCACCCTGCATAGTTACTGCAGCATTACTGACTATATTCCCTGTGCTGCACTTTACATCCAGGTGCCTCTTTTGTAACTTTGGACCAGGAACACAGCTGTGTGGCAGGTTGCAGCTCTTTTTGAAATTCCAGCATCACAGAGTCTAGTTGCCTGGACCTGTCTTTAGGCTGACCCCAGATTCTGCCTGAGCTGTTTCAGTCCCTGTGCATGCTGTGCTGAATCGCAGTGGGTTGGGATTGCCCCCCTGAAGAGAGCGGCTCAGTCTATGGGAGTGCTGGAGATTTAGGGCATCCCACTGGGGGACACTAAACTGTTACAAAATGTCATGATGCTGTCACTTCTGGGTGCATATTTGAAGGAAATGGAAAGATGTTACTAAAGAAGTATGTACACCCTCATGTTCACTGCAGCATTGTTCACTGGAGCCAAAACATGGAAATGACCTCAGGCTTAGTCTTGGATCAAGATGGGGTACATATATACGATGGGACAGTATTCAGACACAAGAAGGAAATTCTGCCATTTGCAACAACATATTAAGGGCTTAATGCTTAGTGAGATAGAAATACCATATGATATCTCTGGAATTTTTGAAAAAGTGCATAAAAGCAGAGTAATGGTGGTGACCCAGAAGTAGGGAAATGGTAGAGGCATTTAAGAGCACAAACTTGAGGTCAGTCAGTCCTGAAGACCTACTGCATGGTGTACTGATATAAACAACCAAACTTTAGAAAGGTTTAGTTTCCTAAGAGGCTGAACCTTATTTCTTCCAACTCGTGAAGAATCCTTGAGATGAGACAGTAATGCTAGCGAGGTGTATAATGATAATCACATTGTAAGAAATGTATCAAATCAGTAAGTTTACCCCTTCAACCAAATGTCCTATGTCAAATAAACCTGCAAGATTAGGGGAAAAATAACCCATCGTGGATGGAGCTGGGTCTTGTGGGTCCCCTAAGAGCACCCCAGAAATGTACTTATTGCCTGGTGGTACCATCTGAACCTGAGCTGGTGGACACTGTGCAAACAAAGACACTGGTCCCATTTCTAACTTC